ATTTAATCCTGATAAAGAACTTGGAGACTATGAAGATAAATATCATATTAAAACATTGTTAAAAGAACAAAATGAATGTATTGATGATGGAAAACAAGTAAAAGAAGAGCTTCTTACTTCTTCTATTGAAACTAATAATAGTCCAATAATAACAAATAAAGAATCAAACCAATTAATAGAATTGAAGAATGAACTTGAAACACTTAGAAATCAACTCCAATATTCAATTGACTCTATTCAATCATCTACTTCTCAATATATTCATAAACAAATTGAGCCATTACAAAGAAGACTGTTAATTGTAATTCTTATGAACGTAGCGTTGATAGGTATGCTCATTTATTTGCTTCTTCACTAAATATTTTTGTTATATATATCATATTTTATTTGGAAAGAAACGGAATTAGATGACGTAAACATTAAATTGAGAAAAAAGAATAATGAAAAAAAATCTATTGATTTTTGAAATGAAAAATTAGAAAATTAAAACGCTGAAAATAAAAGAAAGTTTTGAATGATGGTTATGAAAATTAGTTTTTGATAATAAAAATTATTAAAAAAAAAAAAAAAATAAACATTAGCGGCAGAACATGAAAATCATGAATTGGAGGTGAAAACTAAAATTTATAAAGGATGGCTGATTGTTGTGTAAATTTCGATGAAAAAATATATCATGACATATGTACCTCAAACCATTTTAAAGAATTTAGATATGTTGCATTTAATATAAATGTTAAAGATTCATATTTACCTTCAAGAGATAAAGCACCTAAAATGGTTGATATAACTTATATTTCTTCCTCAGAATTTTCATTATTACCACGAAAAAAACAATTAAGTAGAATTACTATTGAAATGACAGCCACCCAACCTACAAAGTCAATTGTTTGTTTTTTTTATTTATTTTATTTTTCTTTTAAATATTAATATTCATTTATTATAGAATTCAATTGGTAGTTCATTTGAATTAGTGGCAATTAAACCAATGTCAGATAAAGTATTTGTTGATGCATGTACTTCATTTCAAATTGATTTAATAACATTTAATTATCCTGAACAACTTCCATTTAGATTCCATGTTCCTACATTAAGAACAGCAATGAATCGAGGGTTGTTTTTTGAAATAAATTTATCTCCATTACTTGAAGAATCTGACCAAAAACAAAAACAATTTTGTATTTTAAATGCTACTGATCTTATTACATCTACAAAAGGAAAAAATATTATTTTATCAAGTGGTGCAACAACAAACAATGGATTTAAAGGTACAAAAGATCTTATTGCTATGGGAATAATGTTAGGACTAACTACATCACAAGCATATGATGCTGTTTATGTTAATCCAATGAAATGCATTACAAGATCACGTAGAAGATTTCCTATTAATTCAATGATATCAATAGAATAAAGGGAAACTAAAATATCAGTTAAAATAATATGTTGTTATCTTAATGTTCTTTAAAACTAATTCATTTTTAATAATATAATTATGCAATAATATTTATTTTTTTTAATGCTTTTTAATTATACTTATTAGTAAAACTATCAAAACTTAACTTTTAAGAAATTCATCCTACTTAAATAAAAAAATTCTCTTTTCTGTTTATTTAATCCGCTTATTGAACATTTAAAACAATAGCAGTTAAGATATTAGCAGCTTCTTCTTTGTGTTGATTAAACTCAGTTTCAATAACTTGAATTTTCTTTTGTGTTTCTTCTTTAAGAGTCTGAGTTTGAGCATCTAAATCTGTGTTGTGAGTAGCAAGATATTTCTGAAATTCTTCATCTTTTTCTTTCTTCATTTCAGCAACTTTTGCTTTAGCCTCTTCTCTTGCTTGTGCTATTTTTTGAACCTTTTCAGCTTTTGCTTTTTCTACAACTTGTTTAGCGTTTTCTTCTGCTTCCATAAGCATTTTTAATCCTGCTTTATTGTCGTCTCCAACTTTAGCCATCTTCTTTTTATTTTTTAAGATTTTCTTTCTTTTTTAAATTCTTTGAGTTAATTTGTTTGTTTTTTTCTCTTCGTTTTTGTATAGTTTCATTATTCATTTCCTTAATTGCTTACTTAAAACAAGTATCATAACAAAACAAAAAAAAGTAACAAAATATGTTTTTTCTTGTGTTGATTTTTGTAATTAAACAATTATTGAGTCATCATTATTGGATTGTTGTTCACAAACTTGTCCATCTTCTTTACACTCTATAGACTCTTGGATTTCTGTTCTTTCATTTGGTTCATCAGCACATTCACTTCCTCCAGCTTCTGAATCATCTTTAACAATATAATCAATATCAAATACGTTAGATGTTGCAGAGACCCATTCATTCATAGCAGCTTCAAGTAATAATTTTTGTTTTTCTATTGCCTCTGAGCCAATAGCAAATTTATTTTGGCAGTTAGTATATCTCTTAAACTTATTGTCATCAAATGGAATAATACGTGTATCTACACTTTTATAGAAGTCATCTTCTCCAATTGAAGTTGGTAACATAAATAATGATTGATTCATATATTGGTCGGTACATGGAATATTCATATCAACATGCCCTCTTTCAGATATTTTACCATTAACATATTGATAAATACCAAGGTCACTTGACACTGCTTGGACTAAATTGTTATCACTAAATGTTACTGTAATTGGACAATCTTCATTAGTATGAATTTTATTACTTGCATTAATCCAAACAACATTTTGTGTTGATGCATTCTTTTTAATTGGATCAGAACAACTTGTTGGTGGAAGGGTAAATAGGTGTGATGTTTTTGAAGAAGAAACAACAACTAAATCACATGATGGTGTAAATGAAATGTCTGTAATAACTGCAGTTGTTGTACCTCTTTTTAATACAAATAAATGATCAAGATAACCATTTGGATGTACTCTAAATACATTTGCTAAATATCCTTTATCATCACAAGTAACAAGTAATTCTCCTTTTGGATCAAATTTCATTGTTCTTAGTCGTGAAGCAGTAGCACAAAAGTGACATATCCTTTTTATCTGTTTTTTTGAAATAATACTTCTATGATCTGCGACAACAACAAATTCTTTTTTATGTTCATTATCATTAATTTCTTGTGGTTGAGTTGGTGCTCCATAAATATTTTTTACTCCATCAGTAATCCAATTAATTGAACTTGTTATTGTTTCTGTAGTTATGGCTGCAGCACTTTGTGGAGGTTCAACATATGATGGAGGAATGTCATAAGTAGGATACGCAAAATAAGCACTACTCACAGCGATTGGATGTGTATTTTTTAAATATTTTGTAGTTGATATTTGAAGAATTAATGATGGTGGATTTTGAGTTGTGTTATAAATATGTAATTGCCCATCTAATGTAAACGCAAACAATATATCTTCAACTAATTCAAAATCACAATAATTATATGAAAAAAATGATGATGCAATTGGTCCTTCTGGTTTAAATGTTACACTAACTAATTGGTTATTACTCGTTACAAAAAAAAGCATAGGAGGTGAAATATGTCTAAAACGTGAAAATAAAGGAATAACATTATCTTCTACTGGATATGAAAATACTTCTTCATTTTTTGTAATGTCATCACAATCCCATACTCTAATTCCATGACTTTCGCATATAATACAACATTTTCTCCTATTTATTTAAATTTGATTTCTTGTTTTTTTTTTTAATGTTTTTAAACTATCAAAAAACAAACAGCTCATTATCGTCTTTAGGATATTCATCAAATATAACAGCTTGTACATCAATTTGGTCTTTTGGTTTTGGTGGTTTTGTTTTAAGAAAAGAAGGAAGGTAACTCCATTCTTCTTCTTTTTGACCTTTAATAAATGATGCAAAATAAGGATGGTTCATAATTTTTATTTATTTTAAGTTTCCATGAATTTTTTTTCTTTTCTTTCTTATCTTTTGGAAGATTTTTTCACTTCTTTAATTTTTCTTTTAAAATAACTTTCCATCTCTTTTTTTATTAGTAGGGAAGGACATTAATCATGTTGTTATCATTTTCGGTTTTTAATTCCAAGGGGTGTAGATTGTATCACTTACAAAGTTTCTTTTATTCCAGTCATTTAATTAACTTCTGTTCATTAACTTTTTATAGCTAAAGGAAGTGAAAGAAAACAATTATTAGAATTTGTCATTTCTGAAGCAATCCTTGCTAAAGAAAAAGTTATATCACCTATAAGGTGGAAAGGAGATGCTGCGTATTTTATGTTTATTGGGGGATGTTGGTGTATTATCATTACTGATGAAAAAATTGGAGTTGATTCAATGATATTACATTATACCATTCAAGCAATAGAAGAAGTTTTTCCTATTAGTGAGTTAAGCATTATAAAGAACGTTAATTTATTAGAGTCAATTGTTAGAGACTGTATTGGTGATGGGATTCTTCACTCAGTTAATTATTTTGATGTTCTAAGAGATGTTCAACCACCTCAACGAGTTGAGATGATTCCTGAATTGCTTGAAGTGCATCATCCATTTCATAGAAAAGAATATCAGGAAGGAATGACTTTTGGACTAAAACAAAGAGAATGGAATAATAACTATATTGTTAATGGTATATCCCAAACAGGATTTGAACGTGCTGAACCATCGTATGAGTGTTTAGATAAATATAACACTCTTCCAATTGAAAAAACAATGTTTGAACCAGAAAAAATTTTTTTGGTTCAACAAGAAGAAATAAATGTTACATTTAAGTCAAATGGAGAAATAGAAAGTTCGATGATTCGAGGAGGATTAAAAAGTACTGTCTACTCAGTTGGAGTAAAATCAATTCAATTTACTATTGATTCTATAGACTTTCAATCAAATCAACTAACCATTAACCAACAATTAGAAGGAACAAAAGACAGTGGTGTATTATTATGGCAAAATCCATATGGTACTATTCCTATTCTTTCTTATCAAGGAAATGTAAAAACATACCCATTATTATTAAGAGGAAATACAAATGTTGATAAACATTCTCTTACAATTTATATAACATATTCATTGATTGGTCAAACCTATCTGCACTCATTTTGTTTTCATCTCCCACAAAAAGTTAAATCAATTGAAACAAACCCACCAAATTATACAACAATTGGACGTACTCTTTTCTTATATCTTGCTAAAAAAAATAATAATAATAAAAAGCGTTTGTTTTTAAACTTTATTCATAAAATAAATGAATAACTAAAAACTTATAATACAGAAGAAGGGTCTTTACGTATCACATTGAAATATAATAATGAGGCTCAACCACATAAATCAGATATCCCATTTGGGTGGTTTGATTTTGAAAGTTCATTTTCAACAAGTACATTAGGACTACCAACTATTACACAAAAAAGTGTTTCAGAAATCCCAATAGAACAACAAATAATATGTAAATCAGGAACATATGGGATGAATTTTATTGATGAGAGTTAATCTTCATTTTTTGGTTCTTTTGAGATAAAAAAGAATGATGAAACTCAAAAACAATAACTTGAAAATCAAATAAAGAGATATTAACATGTCACGAAGAGATGGTCGTGATGAAGAAATAGATTTTGGTGAACAGATTATTAATGCAGAAAATGAAGAAAGACTTGCTGGGTTAACTGACTCAATTGCCCAATTAAAAACATCGGCAAATTATTTAAAGAACAAAGTTGAAAGTGATGGAAAACAAATTGATGAAATGGTTTGTATTATTTTAAATAGGGCTACTATAACATAAATCGATTACTAACTTATCGTTAGCAAAATCAAATGGATGACTTAATGGAATTTTTAAATTCTGTTAGACAGAAATTAAAGAAATTATTTGGAACGACAGGAATGGGTCATTTATTAGTTTTAGTTATTGGAGGAATAGGAATTCTTGTTGTGATATATGTCGTAGCATTTAAATTGAATTAAGTACTATTTTATTAAGAATTTTTGTTATTATAACTAAGAAAAAAAAAAAGAAATTAAATGAACTAGTTTTTCTTGTTGTGTTAATTATCTTTAATGATATTTATTATTATTCTTTTATTATGTACATTAGGTTGTCTTGCACAAAATTTAACAATTAATATCTTTCATGTTGGACAAGCTGATTCTCAGTTGTTAATATTCCCAAGTGGTTATACTGTTTTAATTGATTTAGGTGAAAATAGAGATGATTTTGAACCGACTAATGCTAAGTACGTTACTAAACGATTAACAGAACTTGTTCCAAGTAAAACAATTGATGTTTTAGTATTAACTCATATCCATTTAGACCATTTTGGATATCCAGCCAACCAGACTGGACTATGGTATTTTATTGAAAAGAGTGGATTTAAAGTTAAGAAATATGTTGGTAGAAATATTGGTACATATGACGGAAATGACATTTCTAAATGTAATAAAGATACTATTAACTGGAAATATGTAGGAGAATATGAACAATACAATGTTGATTGGATTTGTTATGCACACACACAACAAAGTCAAAGTTACATTAATAGTATTAGGGAATTAGCTGACATTTGTTCCACATCACAGATTCATCCTCCTGATAATAATGCTAGTATTCAAATTGTGATGGCTGATGCTTTCACTGTAAAGAAACAAGATGGAAATTTAGTAGCAAGTGATTGGCATGACACAAAAGATGCACCAAGTGAAAATGATTATTCTATTTCATTAAGAATTCAATATGGAGAATTTGTTTATTTTACTGGAGGGGATTTAGACGGTTCACAAGACTTTGCTTGGGGAAATGAAATTAGTAATGCAGAAGAAAAAATTGAAAAAATTGTTGGTTCAGTTGATGTATATCGAGTTAATCATCATGGGGATTATCACTCCTCAAGTAAATCATTCTTAGAAGAAATGAAACCAACTGCCTCTATCATTTCATGTGGTGACCATAATAGATATGGACTTCCACATCAACAAGCAATGGATAGGATATCATTATATAGTAAAACAGTATATTTAACAGAAGACTGCAACTCAAATGTTACCAACGTGTTTGATAATGTTCATATTATGAACGAGGATGTTATTATTACAATTCCACTTGGTACTGATTATTATGAAATTCATGACCCAATAAGAAACTATGCCAAAGTGTTTAAAATAAAACAGAATAAAGAAGCACCAAAAGATTGTTATTCTTTGTTTGACAATGGAACTTCATTAGTATTTCTAGGTTTATGTTTACTTGTTTTACTTAATATTTAAGAATGAGTTAATTTAGTAAGAGTCAATGATTCCATTTTATTCTTTTCAAATGAAATAATCAAGAGGATTATGATAAAATTAATAATATTTTTTAGTATAAAAATAAAAGAATATCAAAAAATGGATTAACAATTTTTTTTGAAGAATAATTCGATTTTAATAAAGTAATGTTAGGTGATGAAAGAAAAAAGTATTTTTAAAAAGGAGTATGAAAAAACATTATATAATAGATCTTAGATTCTAGATCTTAAAAATTTAAAAAAATGTTGGATTCCTTTGTTACAACTAGTGCTCAATTAATTGGATTTCCAGAAGATATGTTTAGGTTTTTATTTGCATTTATAGTAGAAGTCCCTATTTCTATTATTTGCAGATATATTCCATTGAGTACAGACATGAAATATCTCATTTATGGTATAATTGGTATTTTTATATCATTTTTTGTATATTCAACCATGACTTATTGTGTATTGATAACCATGATTCCAGTTTATCTAATTATGAAATATGTACCAACAAGAAAAGGAGCATATACTTGCTTTGGAATATCATTAGGATATTTATTAACTATTCATATCAAAAGAATGATTGACAATTATCTTGGATATGATCTTGACTTTTCTTCTGTTCAAATGGTATTAACAATTAAATTTACAACATTTGCTTTTTCAGTTTGTAATGCACAGGACAAAGAATATAAATGTTCTGAACATACTGAAAAACACAAAATTTACAATTATCCAAGTATACTTCAATTCTTTGGGTATACGTTCTTCTTCCCTGCATTCTTCTCAGGACCATCTATGGAATATACAGATTTTGTATCATTTATTGATATGTCAATGTTTAAAGAATTTAATAATAAACTTCCACCAATTAATATGAAAGCTGTTGGAAAAGTTACATTAAGGCTTATTTTAATTATTGTATTTCATTTAATTTCAATTAAATGTTCAATATTTGAATTCTGTGAGTATTATATTTTAGGTCATAAAGAAGAATCTACTTGTTGGTTTAAATTATTAATGATACTTTTGTATGTTGAGTTTATTAAATTAAGGTATTATTTTGTTTGGGAATTCGGAGAATTGTTAAGTATTCTTATGGGATTTGGTTATAGTGGAATGAAAGATGGAGAAACAACATGGGAAGGATTTAAAAATGTAGATATTTGGAAAATGGAAACTTCTGATTCTGTTAGACAAATTGTTAGTAATTGGAATATTCAAACTGAAAGATGGCTAAGATATTATGTCTATGAAAGATTAAATCAAAATAAAACTCTTGCACCATATAAATCACTTTTAACCAATATGGTTAGTGCATTTTGGCATGGATTGTATCCAGGGTATTATATCGCATTTGGTACTATGACTTTACAACAAAAATTCCAATATATGTTATATACTCAGGTTCTTCCATTGTTAAGAAATAAGTATGGAGAAAAATCAATTCCAATTTATCTTTATCATACATTTAATTATATATATACTCCTTTTGCTCAAATGTATTGTTTTGTATCATTTGTTCTTTTAAGTTTTAGTGCTACATTTACTGTTTACTCATACACTTATTTCATTCCACATATTATTGCTCTTTCAGGTTGGATGTATCTTTCATATTTTCCAGTTTATAAAAAACCATCCCGTCAAGAAACTGTAGAAACAAAACCAAAAGAAGTTAGTACTGGATCACCAGCTACAAAAGAAACAACTAAAAGTGAATAATTAAAATTTTCATTATTAGAGAAATTATTTAATTAAAAAGAAAAAAGTCTTTTAATTCATTTTTGTTTATAATAGTCTTAGTATAGTATAAAAAGAATTATTAACATAACTACTAACAATGTTTTCTTGCTTTGTCTTATTCCATTTGATATACAATCTGCAACTTTAAATTTTTGTGTATTAACACACCTCGTATTTAATTCTTTAGAACATTCACAAAGATTTGTTATAAATTTCTTATTTGTTAATGAACAAGTGGCATTTGGTCGTAAACCATTTGCTGTTGTTAGGAATACATGACTTTCTTTATCGACATAAACACAATATTTAATAGCTGACGAACCACAAATGTCAATATACTTTGTTGAATCAGTGGTAATTCCAACACTTTCTAATCCAGTTCTTATTGAACCACATTTTTCAATGTCTTCAGAAATATATTCTATATCATTCTTAATACAATTTGGACGATAATATATCTTTCCAGAACATAATGAATAACTAACTACTTGACGTACTAAACAAAAAACAAAAATGACAATTGCTATTTTCATTGTTTTAATAACAATTTTTTGTTTTATTTCTTCTTTTTTAGTTTTTTATTTTTTATTATATTTTTATGAAATAAAGTAGCAATTAAGAAAATGAACCAAGTCGAAGTAATTGATGATAAAAAGAAAGAATTTGAGAAAGAAGT